CATTCCCTGCAAGTGAAATGTTGGAAAATCCTAAAAATAATCTCCTCTACAAGAAAATAAAGTCAGTGGATATAATTTTATTCAAGTGAATCATATCTCTGTTAAAGCAAAAATGTATAGGTCGAAATTTGTTGCTAGTGGACAACAAGCTGAACATGAGTCAACAGCATGCTGCTGCAGCAACAAAGGCAAATTGGTTCCTGGGCTGCATCTGCAGGGACATTGCTAAGAGATGTATGATGCTGATGTGATCATCCCATTCTACTCATTGCTTGTGATGCTGCACCTGGAGTACTCTGTGCCATTCTGGTCCCCACAATTTAAGAAAAAGTGGACAGACTGGTGAGGGTCCAAAGGAAGGCCATAAAGATGATCAAAGGGCTGGAGAACCTGCCCTGTGAGGAAATACTGAAGGAGATAGGTCTTTTCTTGCCGAAGAAGAGAAGGCTTAGAGGGACCTCATCACAGTGTCTCAGTACTTAGAGGGCAGCTACAAAAAGTATGGGGGCTCTCTCATCACAAGGAACTACATGGAGAAGACAAGGGGCAATGGGTACAAGTTGCACTGGGAGAAGTTTCATCTCAACATAAGAAAGAATTTTTTTACAGTAAGAATAATTGTTCACTGGAACAACCTCCCCAGAGATGGGTTAGGGTCCCCATCGCTGGAGGTTTTCAAGATGTGTTTGGACAGGGTGCCAGACAATCTCATCCAGGCTCCCTTTCCCATGAAACGTTGGGCTAAAGGATCTTCTGAGATTCCTTCCAACCTGGGCTGCTCTGCAATTACATGTTTCTTTGATATGTCTATAAAGAAAAATTCTAAATAAAGCATATTTGTTTCTATAATGAGAAAATACAGGACTTTAGATAAGCAGTTCAATTTATGGATGCGAATAGTAACTAGAAATGCAACCCAGGAATACGTGACACATTGTTTTCAATGAAAATATGAACATGGGACATAGGCAATTAAGCATTCCCTATGTTTTCAAGCAGAATATGCAAATTTGACATTCAAATCAGACTTCTAAAAAAAACTCACCCAAGCAAAAACACTAAGAACATAAGCAGTCCAAAGCTTAAGCCTCTTTGCTCTAACTTTAATTACTTCGCCATAATTTCAGTTAAGGGCAAGGCACTTTAGTAGGTTATCATTTTGCTCCTCCCAACTGTTTCAAAAGTCAGGTACTGTTTCCCCTGAAAAAAACATGTAGTGGATGGAATATTTAGATGGAGAATTTACAGCAGAGTAGCATGCAGAGAATTCATTATAGCTGGGAGAAGGAAGGCACTTTAAGAAGGTGACAGTATTGTTTGCATAATAGGTTTGTCTGTTGCAAACTAAGGGTAACTGCTGAACTGGCTTAAAAATTGCATACATTTTTCAGTAGCTAAAGAGAAACATGCAGCAGGTTCTGGAAGAAAGAGGGTCAAAAGCCTGATTATATGAAGTATAAAAAATAAAATGTTATGGAATACCTTGTTAAAATGTGCATCTACCAACACAGATAAATACTGCTATTTAATGCAGATTTACAGAACAAAAGAATCTATTAACCTGTAATTCAGGGCCACAAGGCTTTTAGGTTGGGAGGACTTGATGTGCCTCTCCCCTCTCACATGATGCTGTGCAGCTCCGCAGTTAAGACTGGGTCCCAAGTCTGGATTTAGCATTTTCAGCAGGTGGTGTAAATTCCTGCCCCATTTAAGTACAATTTTTTTCCACTGCTTGTAATTTCAGTATTCTGCCCTATGATGAGATTTTGTAATATTACATTCTAAGGCCACTGTTTATTAACACCATTGAACAAAAGGCATGATAGTCCTCTACAACACTTTAACTCTGCTTCAGGACTATTTTAAGGGCTAAAAAAGGAACTGTGGTGGCAATTAGGTCTTGGTGGAAGATCTGTGTTGTTACTCCAAGGTAACTTTTTTTAACCTTTAGGTATTGGACGTATACGCACAAATGAATAATGTCAGAATACGCTTATTAGAGTGGGAAAGGACCAGAAGAGGTGATACTGGTAGAGAAAACAAAGTTGTGCTGCTCTCTAGATAAAAGAAGTTGGCAGGGAGGGAAAGGGAGCACAGTGAAATAAAGAGCAAACTAAGCCCACTGCACCTCTGGATGCTATGAAATGCAAATTGGACCTAATTGTGAAGGGTCTGAGTGAAGTGTTAGTGAAGTCAATCTTTTCTCTTCTATTGGGAGCGTGGAGCTGGTCAGGCTCAAAATTCTCCTTGGCTGATTTAAGCCACCTTTGGTGTGAAGTGGCTGCAGAGCAAGTTCAGCTTAGCACATCACCGCGGTTTGCAAGAAACCTAAAGAGAAGAGCAGAAAACCATTAGCCTATCAGCAAATCTTTTTTTTTTTTTTATATATACATTTCACACACATACTCACACACACAAAAATATCCATTGGATCTTGCTAGCATTGGCAGTAACAAACACTGCTATGACGATATTGCTGCTCGTGTGCACTCTGGCACTGTCAATCCATCCCATTCACACACTACGTCTTTGTCTTTTGTTTTCTCTGGGATTTTATAAGTTTCAGAAAATGGACAGTACTCTTATTGAGTGTCTTGAATCCAAAAGTCTATCTGATAGTCATTGCAGGCTTGATGTGCAGCAGTCTTTGTTAAGAAACACAGTGATCTTTACATAAACAGGCTGACCTTTGTAACTGGCATTTTGTCAGGATGGGCTGAAGTCAGGAGGGGGAGAGGAGAGGGGGAGAGGAGCCTGTGCTATTTGTTGCTGTAAGAGAAATTGTATTCTGAGGCAAAGAGGCAAGATGGTACGTCTTTTGTTTTTATAACTGCATAATGAATCATATACATGCCTGCACATTTAACAGCTACTACACTTGAAATGGACACTGCATTTTTTTCTTTACTAACCATAACATCCTTCCTTCACCCCTTTTCCTCCCTCCTCTCCAAAAAAAAAGACGATAAAAACCAAAGCAGGCTAAATCACTGCTGAGATCAGATCACTCCACAGTTCTCTGGTATGAAAATGATTAAGCATGCTGACAGGAACAAAACAATGTGATGCCAGAGGAATCTTGGGTTTGTGCAGCTGCCGAACCTCTTACAACAGATTCTGAAAACATAAAACTGCCAGACTGGCAAATGTACACTCCACACCGGTGCTTAGAGAGATAATTGAGTGAAGACAAAAACCTTCTTGATCAAAAAGCTCAACAGAAATGACAGTCTCTTTTGAAGACCACACGTAGCACAACGGTCAAGTGCTGGTGGAATACTGGTGGTCACTCCATATTGTCCAACGTATACATCCCATAGTCTATATGGTCACTGTGCTTACTGATCCTGGGAAGCATGGTGTGAACACAGCCAGGCTATCGCACCGGCATGCAGGGATGCCAAAGCTTCTTGTTGATTTGTAGGCTGTGCTGGCTTTCAGTTTACTAGTACCAAGCTCTCTGCCTAACTATACATAGCAAATACGTTTTTATTAGTCATAAACGAGAGTGTCTGCTTACAGCTCATATATAGGCGAGGGACCGGGGGAGGGGACACACACACCCCCCAAGCTCCATAAATGCTGGCGCAGCCTCCCCCTCCCACACACACCTTGAAATTCAGCACACACCCCGGAGCCACTATGAGAGGAAAAGGGAGATTTTTCCACCGACCCAGCTCGTGATTTCCATGCAGAGAGCCCAGAAGCGCCGGGAGGGGGGGGAACGGAGGCGGGGGATGCTTCGCTTACCCAGGGCAGGGAGAGGGGCACGGCTGATTAGAAGGATATCCGCCCACTCCTCTACCCCTACCCCACTAATGTTTCTCGCCGCGATGTCCACCGCCTCGCGTGGCTCCGAGAGGCCGGTTCCCCACGCAAAGGCCCCCGCCGCCGCCTCTCCCTGCCGGGGATGCAGAGCGGGCCCGGCCGGGACGCGGGGGCGTGGGGCGGGCAGGCAGGTGCCGCCGGCTGCGGTGGGAAGGGAAAAAAAAAAAAAAATAAAAAAATAAATCTGAAACAAAGGCTTGGCCGAGGGTAGGGGGAGAGGCGGAGAGCAGGGGTCCTCTTACCCGGTCGATACGGCCGCTGAGGCTCGCTGGGCGGTGGGAGGAGGAGGAGGAGGAGGAGGAGGAGCGGGCGCCGCGCAGCCCAGCAGCGGGCTGCTGGCCCCCCCCCCCCCCAGCCCCCCGGCCCGGGCCGGGCCCCCCCTCCGCGGACTGCCCTCGGCCGGGCCGGGCCCCCCCTCCCCACCCCGGGCTGGGTCGCTCCCCCGGGCGGAGGTGGCGCCGTCCCGTGTCCCCCCCCCACTCCGCGGCTCCCCCGCTCCCCGCCGCGCAGGCGGCCCCCTCTCCCTCCCCCGCCCCCCTCACTCCCCGAGGGGCGATCGGCCGAGTCCCGCGGATCCTGCCCGGGCGCGGAGAGCTCCGCGGGGCGAGCAGCCCCCTCCCCAGCGCCGCAGCCGGCGGGATGAGCCCCTCTCGCCCCTCGCCGGGCCGCCTCGGCTCGCTCCGGCCTCCCGCTGCTCGGTGCGGCTTCGCCTCCGCTCCGCCTGCCTTGGCGACACCCCTCTCCTCCAGCCCGCTGGTGAGATCCAGCAGGTTGTTATTCTTTCCTTGAGGACCACTACCACCACCAGCAAAAAAAACCCACCCCAGCCCCAGCAAATCCCATCCCTCCCCGCAACCCCTCTTGCTATTCGGATTTCCTTCCCTCTCTCCTCCTCCTCCCCCATCTCTTCGCCGCCCCCCCCCCCCCCCCCCCCCCTTTTGGGTCTTGAGGCTGTCTGTCCCCTACACACACACACACAGGCACGCATGGTGCGAATGGTTTCTTATACTTGCTGCTGTGCCACTCAGAGCTGCTGCTGGTTTCTACCGTCCCACCACCATGCAAAGCCCTCTAGCTTGAAGCCGAAGATCATGGACTCTACGCTTGGAGTCGGGATGCATTTTGCTCACAGCCGCTTCGCTTCCTGCAATTTCACCTGGTGAGTAGGTTTTATTTCACGATCAGATTGCTTGTTTTCAACCAAAAGGCTACACTTTAACAGAAAAGGGGGGAGGGGGGGGGGGGCGGAGAGAAGGGAATAAAATAAAAGAAACGTCTCAGTTGCCTCGCCTTGCACCTGAACCTTCCAGTAGCCTGGCTGGCTCCACTTTCTGAACTCGAAGAAATTACGAAGCACCAGCCCTGCTTGCCCACGTCCATTCCGCACGATAGTCACCGCTCTCGGCACTAACTTGCAATCCGCACCGCAGTCTCACTCGCCGAGTCTTTGCCATTCCAGCGCTTATTCATCGCATTTTATTAATGTTTTCATCAGGCGCTGTGCCTGCTACATAGTTTAACCCTTGCAGATACAGCCGCTCGCATGGCTGATGGTAGGGCTCAGTATTTCTCCCGGTGTAGGAGGATGGACAGAAATCGCTGGTGGTTAAGGGAGTCGTGAGCGTGTCTAAAGGAGTGTCTTCAAGTCTGCGTGGGGAGGTAAGGTGGAAAAGTTCATTACTCTTCCTGATCCCCTGAGGAAGCTTGGATTGGATTGGGATGGGGAAGTATTCTCCAGGAGGGATAGGAAAGGATTTCCAGACTTCATTAAATCCGTCCCGCGGCCGGGGCAGGCAGGGGACGGCGCGCCGGGGGGGGCTCCGGGGCTGGGGGGCTCCGGGCGGCTCCTGCCTACCCGCCGCCTGCCCCCCGGTGCGCCTGCCGGCTTTACCGAGGGCTACTTTCGGCAATACCTGTATTTTTGCCGGCCTGAGGAGCGCTGGGTAGGGGCGAGGCGTCGTCTTCACAAAACGTACATTCGCATGTGTGTCCACCTGGCGCGTTTGGAAGCGCAGAGTATCTTTGGAATCAAGTAGGGGCTTCTTTACTTTGAAAGAAAAATGAAGAAGAGGACCAAAGGAAATAAACACTTTTTGTTAAAAAAAAAAAAAAAAAAAAAAAAAGGACAAATGCCTTCAGAGTGCTATTTGTGGCTAATACTTCCAGTATTTCTGTGTCTCTAATTAGCGGCATTCACCCACGTTAAACAGCAGGAGGTAGGGAGGGAACATGTTACTTCTCCCAGGGATGTATTGACTGGGCTCCGTTTAACTCGGTCATTTGGTGTGCTAGATAAGTGTGTGTGTGTGTGTGCAGTCATGTCTCCAAAACAGTACATGCAGAGATCACACGGAAGGTGCTAAAGGCTTGCAAGCAGGTAGAGATGCCAGAGAGAAATACAGGAGATCCGAATTTATTGCCTGGTGGCAAGCAGAGGACGGAAAAGATCAATGCCCCCTTCAATACCGTGCTCCTGAGAGTGCTCCCCCCACTCCTCTTCCCCCACACCCACCCACCCCACCCGCCTCCAAATTGCTGGCTGATGTCGGGAGAGAGGGAGTGAGAAAGCCCTTCAAGCGTGGGATCCAAAACCCATCCCTCCTCCAGCTCCTCTCTTCTCCCAGCAGCTCGAACCCCCCCATGCCTACTTCTCTCCCAAGCGCCCTTTTCTCGGGGTCTCTCCTCCCGGAAGGTTTCCCCGCTGCCCTCGGGCCCCTCCGCACGGGACCGGGCTGATTAACCAAATCCCCGCCATTTCCCCAGAATTACCCGCCTCCGACTCTGCTGCTGCTGGGATCCTCCCGCACCAGGCTGCTCTGGAAAGTTTCCGTGCAATCATACCCCCTTCCCAGCTATAGAGGATTACCTAGGTAAGCGCGTTTCAAAAGCTCTACCTGATTTTTTTTTTTTTTTTCCCACCTAAACCTTGGGGAAAAAAATCCCAGGAAGTCCTGAGGTATTAACTCGCTGTGGAAGTAGCTCACCCAGTGAGCATCACCTCGCCTTGCTAGTTAAATGACAGAGCTCTGCAGAAGAGATTTATGTGCCCATCAGCAGAATATTTTCCAGGTTTAAGAGCACTCTATATTCCCTCTGTGCCGACGGGGGTGGGAGATGGTAGGACACAGGATAAAGGCAGTGGAGTTGTTTAGATCACAGTCACAGTGATGAATGGCAGGAAAGCAGTGTCTGGGCAGTAAAACTGGCACAGGTTGGGCCAGGTGGCGTTTCTGTACTCAGCAGAAAGCGAAGAGGGGGACACATGTCAAACCCTTTGCATACAAACATCCAATAAATCAACGCAATTAAGGTGGGCTTAATGGGCGATTGCAACAGTCGAGCATGAGGTATTCTTAATACAGAAGATTCCCATTAGCCCTGGTGGTTCATTTCCAGCGCTGAGCACTCCCAGACCGGAGCATACCCCCCTACTCACGTTGGGCTGGATGACTCAGAAAAAAATAGGAATGCCAGGCGGCAGCCTGGCGGCTTTTTGCTTTGCTTTGGTTGGTCCTTTTGGTTTTTGTACAAAAGACTGGTAGTGTGTAAATACCTCCCGAGCCCCTCCGCGTCTCATTCCCGAGGGAATAGCCCCAGACAGCCCTCTTCCCTTCATTTAGGTGTCCAGGGAGCGGGAGCGGGAGCAGGAGCAGGAGCAGGAGGGCTCCAGGAGCGGGAGCAGGAGCAGGAGCAGGAGGGCTCCGGGAGCAGGAGCGGGAGCGGGAGCGGGAGCAGGGAGCGGGAGCCGGAGCGGGAGCGGGAGCAGGAGCAGGAGGGGCTCCGGGGAGCGGGAGCAGGAGCAGGAGCAGGAGGGCTCCGGGAGCGGGAGCGGGAGCGGGAGCGGGAGCGGGAGCAGGAGCGGGAGGGCTCCGGGAGCGGGAGCAGGAGCAGGAGCAGGAGGGCTCCGGGAGCGGGAGCAGGGAGCAGGAGCAGGAGCAGGAGGGCTCCGGCAGCCGGGCAGAAGCGCCGGGCCCGGCCGGGGGCTGCCGGGCCCCCTCAGCCTCCGGGCAGGCTCCGCAGGGGAGGGCGGCTCGCCGCTCCCACCGCCTCGCCCGTCGCTTTGCAGGGGAAGGACAGCTCCGACCTCCGGGGGAGCGGGTGCTTGCCCGGCTCCAGCCCAGAAGCCACCCAGCTGGGCGGGCTTGCCGAGGCTGCCCGCAGCGGGGGAGGGAGGGAGGGAGGGAGACACCCCCATAAAGAGCTGATCAGGGGTTGCAGGGTGCTCCGAGCATGAGTCCTGCGTGCGCCTCACAGATGCTCTCGCCAATCCCAGGCTACAGAAGCACGAACTATATGTAGCATGGTGTAAAAAGCGAGGTAAAGAAAATAGGGTGTCAACTGCCACAGTACATTGGAAGACGGGAGACGTGCTTTTTTGGGTTACGATTTCTGTGCTACTTAGAGACCATCATGCATTTAAAAAGGCAAGGGCTTTGTTACCAGCAGTCTGTATTGTGGTTCGCTTCCGAATGCAAGTGCATTTTTCTGTGAACCTTTCATTAACTGTTAAATTGTTTAGCGCAGAGAGTGGGAAGAAAGTGGAATATGGTATGATTTACTGTTAGGGATTTTTTTTTAAAGACCACATCAGTTTCAAGTTGCAATGTTTTCTTTCAGAGACAAGTGTATGCATGTGAAGTAAATTCATGACTGGCAGAAAAATGCAATGTATGCAGTAAGTGGACGATGTTCTATTATAGCATCAAAATCAGTCATGGATCCATATCAAATGAAGGCCAATGTGAGAGAGACCTGTTTTTGAAAAAAAAAATATAGAGAGTAATTCAGAGACATGTATCTGACAAGCAAGTGTGGCAGAAGAAACAAAAATAACTTTTTTTCCTAGAAAAACCCACATCTAACTTTATTTAAATATGACATCACAAGAGAATGCTATGAAAAGAAGTGAAGTCAAAACCTTAAAGAGTCTACGTTCAAAGACAAGTGACTCTGACACATTAAGGATGCAGAGATAAAGCTAGAGTGGCCCTACTTACAAGATATAAGAAATAACTTTGGAGAAGCCATCCATTTGGATATCAGAATTTACAGACTGCTGTCAATGCTCTACTCCAACTGTACTCATTTTAAGTAGGTGCTCTATCACTCTATCAGCTTTACCATAAGACCTAGATTTGAGAATAAAAACGTTTGACTTGGATCTCTTCCTCTCTGTCTCTAAGCTAGCAACAGAACTGTAGTCCTAGGTGCTGTTGCAGTGCTGTCTAATTATCAGTTCTGTGAAGAAACTACCTACAAATTCTTGCCTTCAACCATTTTTCTCTCTAAATCATGCACATAATTTAAGCGGGGTAGAAGAAAATATAAAAGATCTGTTATATTTTCAGTAAGCTGATCCACCTCCAGTGAGAGCTAACCTCCCCAACAGACGCTGAGTTCACCAGAGTTGCTGTGTTTGGGGTGCTTATTCATGAAATGCTGAAATACTGTGAGTGAAAACGTTAACTAGGAAACATGAAAACAAGCAGCTGAATGTTTTACGGATCTTGCTGCAGAAGGCAGCATTTGTACAACAAGCCAACAAAACAACTTGAGGATCCTTGAGTGATGTAATCACATCATCTCATCCTTTCCCATTTTTTCTACTACTATCTGAATGCTATTGTGAAGAATTAATTACAGAAGTCTACTCACTGTTTACACTAATGTGTATCCCAAAAGTTATTTCTTTAGTCACATAGACTGCAGAGACTTTTCACTCCTCAGTGCCACGTAGAGACAATGGTTTACGGGACTAAAATATTTTTACTTCATTTGGATTAATTTGAAGTTGAGTAATCATATCTGACTCTGATCAGTCTAAGATACTTCTTGCTTGAGATACAGCACCTATTCAAAACAAAAGAAAGCTCTTTTACCAGCCACCTTGCTTCTTCAGCAATTTTTGAAAATCTAAATGGAAAATTGAATGATCAATCAATTCACCTAAGTTTTTGCTTAGAAGGAAAAGGGAGTGGTGGGACGTATTAGGTGATATTTTCTGGAAACATTGTTTTCTAGCTGTCATGTATGCCTAGTGCAGCCCTTTCCTATTCCTCCTAAAGCTTTGTCTCTCCTCAAAATCAGAAGTAGACATTGATTTTTTTTTTTCCTCCTGAAACACTACTAATCTCATATGAGAGCAAAATCACCAGAAATACAGTTTGACAAATAGAACCAGAATAGTCTTTCAGAAAGGTTGCCTCAAAGAAAACTGTTCTGTTAGACTGCTTCAGGTAGTAACTTACAGCTAGTCATGTTATGGTGGAGTTAACATCTTACTCATCTTCTTGATCTCATCCTATACCCTCATAAGAGAGAACATTTTTCAAAAATGAAATTGCAACCACATTCTCTTCATAGCATTGTTTTCCTATTGTTCAATAAGTCTGCTGTTCAGTGAGGGTCAGATCTTCCACAATTAAAGGAGATCAGCATTGCTATTAACTTCACTGAAAGCAGGATCAATTTCCAAGATAATAATTTGGAACTGAAATGAACTGAAATGAAAGAAAAAAAGCATGACCATCATGAAGTTACATGCTGCATACTGAACAGTGTAAGGCTTTGCATATCTTGAGTCAAATAGCATTAAAGTACTAAAGAACTGAAGGGTTTTTAACCTGATCTTATGTTGTTTTAGGTCTCAGTACTCTATCATCGTTGATAAATCAACATTTTTCTAGATGAAGTTGAGGAACATTAAGAGAGCTCCATTTTCTGAAGTGCCCCACTGAGCTGCAGGCGTTCAGTACCTTGCGACTCAAGTCATCATACTGCTGAAAACTGTAATGTGAATAATTTGGTCTCCTAGTTCTGAAATTAATCATTTATATGTACCACAGTTAAGTGTGCATACATAAACATAGTTTGTATATACATATGCATATATAGATATAAATATGTATGAGATACACTGCACATATCCACCCATTCATCCCTCCACACACATGGTATGTATAATTACTCTTTTGCCCTGGCTCATACCATGTGATCGATTATTTAGCACAGTCTTTTTCCTGTCTCCCATTGAAAGTCTCCACTTGCTCTATGTGCCACAAAATAATGCGCTGACAAGAGGAAAGAAGGACACTCTGCCATATCAAAGCTTTTCATGTTTAACTAATGAGTCTCTCGCAAAGGCCACAGATTTTGTTCCACCTTCAAAAGAAGATTGACCAGGCAATATGTACTGTTACCTAAATTAAGACTATTAAACCGTAGTGGTTTCTCTTATAATGAGGTGAGATTCTAAGACTCGTCAGTCAGATACCTTTACTGTAACAGTCACATTAATGGTGATTAGAAAATTCTGCTAATTTGCAGTAACACCTTCACTGCCACATCTACCAGCACTTGATTAATGAGAAAAGCGGTTTCCAAGGTATTTATTATACATTGCCAAGTAAAGGACTGAAATCTGGGGAATCAGAGCACTACTCTATACCTTTAATCCCATATTATTCATGACTACTGACAACTCTGTAGAGCTAATTTAGCTCTTTCAGTACTTATAAGCCTATTGGAAATAGCGAAAACACCTGGTTAACTGAACACAGATGACCACTCTGAAGTCAAATGGGATTTAAGTACGTTCCTTCTTCACCTTTTATTCCTTTCTCTGTTTGAAATCTCCATTTCTAAGGAGGCTTAACATTACTGGTGAAAAATACTGCTGCATGCTGAAAAATGGTATTGTGGATTGAGCTGGCAGCCCAAGAGTATATTTTGAATTACCTAGTTTTCACCTAAAACATTACTAATCCTTATTCATTAGCAGTTCAGAGGAGAGACAGAACAAATATTTATTACAACAAATTTTATCTTTAATAATTGTTTGATTTTTTTGTACTTAATATTCAGCCCTAAAGGTTAGAATTGCTGAGTTTTGAAAATGAAGTTTTACATACATGTAGTTTATAGATATATGTGTACCTTAGCATCTTGACAGTGATCATATCAGCGCTTTTATTTCCTTATAGCAAAGATTTAAAACCAGTGCAAACAGAATGTCAGTATTCAACCTTTCGTTATTCTGTCCTGAACTGCTGGATGATCTATAGGGCAGAGGTGATACCCACCTCTTTTCCTCGAGAATGTGTAGATGCTCAGCATTTCCTGGATTGATTGCCTTATTCCTTAGTTTTGTATGAACATTTCTAATGAAGCTGCTTGTTTATGTAAAGCAACAGTGTTTAAGGAAGTAGCAATTCATCCTGCTGCCAGATCCTAGAGACTGTGAATTTATTTCACATTGAACCATTAGTTGGTGACGGCCAGTAGTTGGTGGTGCTCTCTTTTTAAATCACTGCTCCTGTGGGATATGAATCTGACTCATTGGCTTAAAAATAAAAGCTTTTATTTTTGTTACTAAGTACCCTTTAAGCTATCTGTTAGCATAAGTTTATTAGCTTGATTCACATTAATTGAAGAGACAGTAGTGACTTATTTTGAAAGGTAGTCTTATAAAACAGCTTCATTTCTTCATACTGGTTTGTCTTGGCCAGGCGAAGTCTAGAACATTTCCTTTTTCTCAGTCTTTCTGGAGGAAAAAAAAAGAAGCTATAATAAAGAAAACCTGTGTTCCTCATACTTAGAGAGTCTGCAGTGATCTGTAACCTCTAATAAACAGACTATGTGTCTCTCATTCTGCATTAAAAAG